GAAGTTCGGGAAGCCCGCGATGTTGTGCCGCACGATCGTTGCTACCGGAAAGACCGACGAATCAGTTGGCCCCCAGACCGTACACCTGTGTCACCCGATGTTTGCCAGCGTCCTTGCACGGAAGACCGACCTCAAGGCTGACGTCGTGTCCGAAGCGGAGAGGCCGAAAGCCGTGGTCGAGACCGAGACCGAGACCGACAGAGAGAACGAGCCCAAGCCTTGCATCTTTGTGTACCTGCTGAGGTTGCAGAACGGAGAGACCGATGAAAGCATCATCTCCTACGTCACCAAGAATACAAAAAGGTCGATGCGGCCGAATGAGCTCGTCACTGTCACAGAAGACCGAGGGCGACCAAGCCAGACCGACGCCAATGAGGCCGTTGTGTCGTACGTGCTTTGGCCGGTGCCCGAGAAGCTTCTGTCGTGTGTTTACTTCAAGACCGACGGTGCCTCCACCCGTGCCAGTGTTCGACGGTTCGGGATTACCATGGAGACCGTGGTCAGAGGAGACACAGGCACAGGGGCACAGCTGTCCCATGTGCAGAACGAGGACAGCTGGTTCGGAGCCTACTGGAACCTCTCCGGTCCGAGGTCTTCGGTGAACGCATTCTTGAGCGCCTGCCGACATCACAAGGATCAGCTGCTTGAGCTGACCGTAGCCGGGGACCAGTACGAGGACGTTAGAACGATGGTCGAGGCTGCGCACGATGCGAGGCCAGATGCTGTAACTGTTCAAAACCATCTTAGGGTCTGAGTCCTAGGGATTATTAGGGTTGTTTTGGGTTTAGGGGTTCGAGTGTTTAGGTTTCCGATTATGATCCAGGGTTTGTTTGTCTAATAGAGAGGAGCTCGCAGTCACGTCATTGGTAACCCCTGCAATCAGGAGGTTGCGCTATGAGAAGCAGCTCGACGACAGCATCGAGGACCTCCAGAGATTCCGCCGAGAGCACCAGGAGGAGGAGGAACGACGTCGGAAAGCACGAAAGACTCAGACTGAGTGAGAAGACGACGTGACATGAGTCTCTGAGTCCCCCGGCAGTTTTGTGCTTACTGCCCCCACTCTGTAACCGTTGAATAATAATAATAATGATCAGAATACAGATAGATAGAGGACCGACCTAACACTACGCCTAGTTTTGACTGTTACAGTTACAGGGCGGGGGCAGTGCCCAACTTAGAACGACGGCAGACGCCCGTTGCTTGAAGCGGAGCAACGACGTCAGAAGGCGCGAAAGACTCAGACTGAGTGAGAAGACGACGTGACATGCGTCTCTGAGTCCCCTGGCAGTTCTGTGCTTACTGCCCCCAGTCTGTAACAGTTAATGATCCGAATACAGTTATAATATATAGAGGACCTAACACTACGCCTAGTTTTGACTGTTACAGGGCGGGGGCAGGAACGACTAACACTACGCCTAGTTTTCACTGTTACAGGCCGAGCTACTAGTTTTGAGTTTGTTTGTCCCTCAGATTTTGCTGTTGCTCGACTGTTTAAAGTCAAGGTCGCGATCGCAGCTGAAGTCCGTCAAGGCCGTGTCAGAGTCAGTCAGGAAGCCTGCGGTGTGTGTGTGTGTGTGTCATTTGCAATTCATTGTTCACAGGCAGTGATGGATGAGTGGGAAAATGGTGGCTGGCGGCCCAGCCCGAAACACATGCTTACAGACCAGAGAGATACTGAAAGTTTTGCATTTCGAGTCTGGCCATGTTAAACCTTGATGACCCCGCCCGCCGCAGCTGATTCGGCAACGAGGGCTGCCAGACCGTAGGGCCGACTGCAAGCATGCCGACTCGTGTGGGTGTGTACCGTTGGGAGCACAGCACCCGCGTGGAGATGTTGTTCTTGTTTGCAGATTGGCGGGTGGGCTTTAAGAGGACGACCAGCAGCCCGCTTGAATTTACAGTTTTCTGCTGTTGTGTTGGTATGCTTGTTTGGCTTGCCTGAGTCTTGTGCTGGCTAAGGAAAAGGCAACATAGCGTATGGAATGCAGGGGACCTGGAGTTCGCCCGATGGCTCCATATGGCTGGCAGACTTCGCGTGCTGCGCACACCCGTCTGTGCGGCAGCATCAGATTCGACTGCAGCACATAGACCGAAATTGCCCCTTGGTGAAGCAGCAGCTTTTGCTTCTGTTTTTGAAAACAGTTCTTCCTGAAGCAGTGAATGTGCAGTCCTAGTTCTATTCGACACATCCAAGATTTCAGCGATGGTATTCGGCACGTCTACTTCCTCGGCACACTCGAAGTGGAATCGCAGACCGCCTTGCCCTTGACCGCCTTGGCCGATGTTCAATGTGCTGAGGACGGAGAAGGTGGCTGGGTGTTGCTGTAATATTTTGGTCCGACTGTCAGACAGACCGAATAGAACCAGGGACGGCAGCTGAGAATCAGCCACGCCGTCGGTGTTTGCTCGTTGCTGAATCAGCATGTTTCACAGACTGACAGACAGTCTTTTACACCAGAATTGCTCCGCCGGCTCTTCTGGCTGACGTGCCAAGTTCAGAAGTAGACCGACGCGTGTCTTCAGAGTACCGTTTCCAGTTGGTGATTAAAAAATGTCGTGCAAGTGAGTGCATGTCAGCATTCATATTGAGATGGTTGAGTTTTCAGATGCCTTCGTGCCAAGGCTGCAGCAGAACGACAACTCACGTCGGAGAGAGGGGATCACTTGTAACACGACCGACGTTTCGGCAGCGCCCGACGAAAATGGAGCGATCAGCACATGGAAGTTAGTGATAGTGATGCTGATTTTGAGTTGTTTTTTTTAATTTTTTAATTGCCCGGGCCTTGCTATTTAACCCCAAGGTTTAGAGTTAAGAAATTGGGGGGGCGGGGGGGGCCCTGGGTTGTTGAGTCCTAAACCCTAAACCCGAAACCCTAAACCCTAAACCCTAGACCCTAGACCCTAAACCCTAAACCCTAAACCTCCTCCCTCCTAAGCCCTAAGCCTGAAGACTCTACATCATCTGTCCCTGGCCTGAGTGTGTGTTGCAATGCTCCGGCTGCGAGCCCTAGCCCAGACACCGCTGTTTTGGGTTCCCGGCTTATGGTCCACAAACCCTAAACCCTAAACCCTAAAGCCGAAACCCTAAACCCTGCCCATAAACCGCTGTTTTGGGTTCACGGTTCCAGGGTGTATGCTGATTTTGGGATGAGGCGTTTAAGGTCTCTTCTTTCGTGGTTCAGGCATTTCAAGGGGGCAGCCCGAGCTTCTGTACGTTTCCGAGGCATTTCAGTTGAAGTTGGTAGGGCTTAGGGGGCTTCTTGGGCCCGTATGATGCTCAGGCCATGCTTGCATACGCCCTAAACCCTCAACCCTGATCCCTAAAACCGGAACCTCAACCTCAGAGCCCACCCTAAACCCGTAACCCTAAGCCTAAGCCCTAAACCACACTTGCACTAGCGCACCGCAACCGGTAAGCCCACCCAGAATCACGCGAACGGCTTGGGTTGGGATGCTTCGGGGGCCAAATGAGCCCTCAAAGAGTTTCAAACCCAAGGCCAGACCTTGGAGGCTAAACGTGCCCTAAAACGGTTCATGGTTTATATACCCTCATGGGGAGTATCGTAGTAGTATAGGACACATGATTCTCAAATTCTTTTCATTTGGCCTCAAGGATGGGAGAGGATGGGGCTGGGGCAGGTTGTTGCTCTGGATGCCCTTCTCGGATGCGTAGGGATACGGTGGAGGGCTTGTTTAGAATGTAGGGTGAAGGGTTCACGTTGTGGGGCTTGGGGGTTGAAAGTTAGCATCTTCAGTTTGAAGATGGACGCCCAGGTAGAACAAGCGTAGCACATGAGCCCGTGTGTAACAAACCCTAACCCCGATGTACCTACATAGGGAATAGTTGGGCCTTAAAGTACTTCCTATTTAGAGACTTTGGGGCCCAAGTACAAGGTACATGGACCCTTAGGGTAAGGCCGAAACCCCTAAACCCCGTTTCAAGGCCGAAGAGCGAGATATCTTCTCACAAGCAGCAGATGGTGAAGCAGAAGATGTGGACGAGGCGTGGCTGTTTGATGTGGTGTGACCACGTCAGTTCGGGTTTAAGGCGTTGATGGTTTAGCGTTTAAGTCAAGGTGTGCTGATTTCTCCTCCTTCTTATTCTTCTCATTCTTCTTCTGTTTGGGTCCTTTCTGTTGACCTCGGGAATTCACGTGAGCAGTTCCTGGACACTGTGACTGCCATGCCATCCAGTTCAACTTAGAGGTATTTTTTGCTCCCTCAGCCTACAACCTATACCATAAACCCCGAAACCCCCGCACTCTACACCTCTAGGGTACCTGTATTGTCCGTCAACCAGAGTCAGCTCTCTGAAGTCTCTGAAGTTATCGTGGTCCTCCCTTACAAGTAACTGCTTCGAAATGGAACCATCCGCAGGCGCCCCATACAAGAGGCTACGCTGCAAGTTCTGTCTGGCCGTAAACCCTGAACCCTACATTAAGCGGTTCGATGAGGTAATCGCGAGGGTGTACTTGTATCGGGTTACGGCTGGCACATGCTTGAGGACCAAATGAACCCTAAAATTGGGGGTCATGTACTCTTTGCTCGCATAATTAGTCCCTCTTCGGGTATATGAACCATAAGCCCCGTTCATTTGGTCCACAAGGATTCCAGAACCTTTCATGTCAGCCAAGTCTCGTTGGCTTCCATGGCATGGCTGCCACACGTCCTCGCTTTTGGCGAAGACGATTCTGATTGGTTTGTTGCCTTTACCAAGCCCAACGAGAAGGAGTGGCAGTACTCCCGCTGGTGCAACACTCCGCAGGAGCTGAGAGATGTGCTTGCCGAGCAGGCTGACTCTCACTGTATTCACCAAGCTGCTCTAGGTCCAAATGGAGAATGGTTCGTCAGTTTTTGCGACGAAAACTGTTCAACCTTTTTCGGCAACACGTCCGAGCTATTTGCTGCAGCGCTGGATGCCGCGAAGGACTGTGATTTGAGGATGCAGATCTCATGGGTTGCCTTCGGCCCGCAGCAGTCGTCTTTCGTTCAGCCAATCGATGGCGATCCGTTTTGGCATGGCCTCCCGAAGGATTTGGAGGGAGCTGGTGGCGAAGTACCCGCAGGGCGTAAAGCATCTGGCACTGGGTCGTCCAGATGGCTGGTGCGTGCTTTTCAACAACGATGCATGGGAATGGAATTTACCATCTCATCCTGAACTGTCAGAAAGGCTTCGCTCAGAGGTGACAACATTGAGGTATTTGTGTATCGGCGACAACGGCAAGTATTACCTTGAGGCCCAAGGTCAGCGATGCCAGTGGCGGGCAGGAAGTCGCCTAAGCGATTTCTTGTCGTACTGCTGCAACAGAAGCTTACGGCAGGAGAAGGCCAAGTCCGCTCTTGCTGACAGCTCCGCTTTACCCGCCGCACATGCAGAGCTCATGACAATATTTGTGAAGATGCTAGAGGAACATCATGAGGATTGTTACTTCGAGCAGATGCTTGAGGACATCAAGAGCAAGCTTCTTTTTGATCCACAGTTCACTCGTGTGTACTCCTTCAGTCCTGCTTGCTATGGACATCGAGGAGGACAGCCATACTTCAAGCCATGTGGATGGCGCAGATGCTCTCTGGCGATCGACAAATTCGAAGAGTACTCAAGTTGGTGCATAGCATACCATGGGACAAGTTGCAGGAATGTTGCATCCATCATGATTCGTGGACTCAGAAGGCCAGGTGACGAGGGTGTCCATGTTGCGCACGGTCAGGCTCACAGCACTAGCGGCTGCAGTATTTATGTCAGCCCATCTATTGAGTATGCTGCTTTTCCAGTTTATGCGGAGCTCTTCGAGTTGCAGGAGAACCGTTGGGCCCAGCTTGTTCTTGAGTGTCGCGTTCGTCCAAGCTCGTTCACAGTGAAGCCAGGATCCTTAGGGAACAAATATTTGCCAGACCATCTTCGCATGGATCAGAACTTCGCTACGAATGCCGAGCTGGAGTGGCTGATTGAGAAGCCAGAAGACGTCGTATTCACTGGGCTCATGATCCGTGAGTTCGGAGAAGCTGCAAGCGAAGCGATCTACGGAAGTTTGGTGCGCCAAGTGACTGCAGGAAGCAAGGGACCACAGTTTGAATGGACAAAGCTGCGTGCAGCAGAGTACCAGCGTCTGCAGCAATGCCTCTGAGGACGCTCAGGTTGCTCAAGGTTTTTTAGGTTGATCACTAGTCCTTACGCCCTACACACGAAGCTGCAGCGCAGTCCCGCAAGGACGGCGAAAAAGGATGCTTCGGCCCACTGTGCCTCCCAGTAGTTCATCAGCCAAAGCTTCCGTTTGGGGGGGGAGTTTGCGATATTGGGAGTTACCCTTAGTAGTAGAGTAGGTAACCTTTAACCTTTTTTGGGTTCCTATATTCCCCTTATAATCCCAAAGGTTAACCTTTAAAACCCCTAGGTACTGGACAACTAAGTACCTCATCGGGGGCCTTACTCTGATTATAAGGGGATCCTACTATTTGGGGGTCTATGTTGGGGTCACCTATTTTCGTAACCCCCATATCCTTTGGCCTTTCCTCGTCCGTAGTACTTTCAAGCGCCGTTAGGGCCTTTAGTGTTAGGGTCTGTCCATACAAGCATGTATTGTTTTGAGAGGTCCCAGGCGGAACCCAAGGGTTTGGGCTTAGGGCCTGGGGCCTAGGGTCTATAGGATCTCCTTCACCCTATACCCGATTACTTGACCCTAAACCCTAAACCTTAAACCCAAAAGTTCTCAATTCCTTGACTCCTGAAAGCTCCGAAGGCTTCCAGGGCCTAAACCGAAAACCCGAAACCTTAAGCAAACCCTAAACCCGAAACCCACAGCCCCAAGCCCTGAAACGCTTCAGGAGGCTGCGGGCCTGAAACGCTGGGATGCAGCGCAGCCCACCAGTAGCTTTCCCAGAGCAACTGCCTGGGAGGGGTTGGGTTTGGGGGTTTTAGGGGTGTTGGGGGTTTTGGGGGTTTTGGGGTTTTGGGGTTTTGGGAGTTTTGGGGGTTTGAGGGTTTGGGCGGTTTAGGGTTTAGGGGTTTAGGGTTTCGGGTTTAGGGTCTAGGGTTTGGGGCGGGTGGGAAACCCTATTCTAATCATGAAGGCCCTAATAAACCCTACACCCTAAACCTTAAACCCGAAGCCCACGTACAAGCCGTGTTCGCTTAGGTTCTAGAAAGGGGAGTTTGAGTTTTCGTGTTTGGGGCTTAGGGATTGGGAAAGTTTGCTTGCGATGTAGGATTTGGGGACCCGGTTGGGCCAGAAAACCCACCCCCGACGTTATGGCTTCAGCCCGCAGACATCTATAGCCCGCGCACCCCAGAACCCAAACCCTCAACACGCGCAGACAAACCCACAAACTCCAAACCCTGAACCCTGAACCCCTTCCCTAACCCAATACCCTAAACCCCAATCAAACCCCGAAACCTTGAACCTCAAGCGGAATACCCTTACATGTCGCCCCCAGATGCTAAAGCCCGGAACTTTGGTTTAGGGTATAGGATTTAGGGTTTTTTGTTTAGGGCTTCAGATGCCCTAAGAACACCCTGTCATGGCCCTTCTAACCCTGCTAACGCCCGAAGCCCGAAGGCCGAAGCCCGAAGCCCGAAGCCGGAAGCCGGAAGCCCGAAGCCGGAAGCCCGAAGCCCGAAGCCCGAAGCCCGAAGCCCGCCCCGCGCGCGGCCTAGATACCCCCTTGGCCTCGGAGCTCTTCGAGGGCCTCGGTCCTACTCGCGAGGCCGAGTCTTAGGGTTCAGAGAAACCCGAAGCCTTACAAGTAGACCCCCACCCCCCCGTTAGTATACTAACTTTAGATAGGGGAATGAGAGCCTAAACAGGAAGACTCATGACCCAATTTAGGGCCCCTAGAACCTTTTCTACAGCCAGGCCCCTACATGTAAACCTTAAGCCCTAAACCCTAAAGCCTAAACCCTAAACCCTACATGTAAACCTTGAGCCCTCAGCCCTAAGAACCCAATGGAAAGCCACCGCAAGGGATCGTCTGGTTCCTCATGGGAGTTATAGAGGTGCCGGTAAGTTTGAAAGCCCTAAACCCTCAACCCTCAACCCTCAACCCTAAACCCCTAAACCCTAAACCAAGCAGCCGAGAAGTCAACGCCCAGAACCCCGCAACGTCGGTAGGAGCTGCACGAGCAGGGCGCGGCACCCATCGGCACTGCCCCGAGTTCCCGTTGTGGGTTTAGGGTTTAGGGTTTATTGTTTACGGTTTAGGGTTTAGGGTTTACGGTTTACGGTTTATGGTTTACGGTTTAGGGAACATTCCCCGAAAATCAGGCGGCTCCTTATGGGCGGTTCATCTTGAGGGGGGCTTTCTACTACCTTTCGGACATTCCCACACTTCTTGCGGTTTAGGGTTTAGGGTTTAGGGTTTAGGGCTTCGGGGTTTGGGGTTTAGGGTTTATAGGGTTTAGGGTGCACGGTTATTTGTGGAAACTCCTTCTCTGGGCTTGAGGGCTCAGGGTAAGAAGGGGGGCCCATACTCAGTTCTGTTCAAGTAGATTACCTACACTTTAGGGTACCAAAAGACGGCCGACTTTTCTATTGCGACATGCTCCCCACCCGAAACCCGAAACCCTAAACCCTAAACCCTAAACCCTAAACCCTAAACCCTAAACCCTAAACCCTAAACCCTAAACCTATGAACCTCCCCAAACCCTAAACCTATACACCACCCTAAACCCGAAACCCGATCCCTCTAAACCCAATCTGGGATGCCCAAAAAGGGCCCGATGTTCCAGTATAGTGTATTCCTTATATGATGGGTAATACGAACCCTAAACCCTAAACCCTAAACCCTAAACCCCAAACCCCAAACCCCAAACCCTAAACCCTAGCCACTCCCAGGTCCTGCGCTCCTGGGTGGCTTGCTGAAGGATGTGGGCCGGACTTCCCAGCAAGATTGCAGGGTTGAGTTCAGGGTTCAGGGTTTAGGGTTTAGGGTTTAGGGTTTAGGGTTTGGGGTTTAGGGTTTAGGGTTTAGGGTTTGGGTTTAGGGTTTAGGGTTTAGGGTTTAGGGTTTAGGGTTCGGGTTTAGGGTTCGGGGTTTTGGGGTTCAGGGTTTAGGGTTTAGGGCTCAGGGCTTTAGGTTTAGGGCTTCGGGGCTAGGAGTTAGGGGTTAGAGGGCTTTCGGGTGCTGGGTGTTTAGAGCTCGTGATCAAGGTTGTTTATGGATTCTACCACGACGTCCTGCAGGTCCACTGAAAGACCTTGCACGGGCTTCAGCCTGCAGCGTTCTGAGGCACGCGCTACTGCGTGGTGGATGCGGGCGCACGGTCAGAGACTAGCGGCCAGCGTGCCAGCACTCGGGGAGCTACGACATGAGCCCTCAGAAGCGCAGCCTCGGGCTAGGTCGCTGGGACGCTGAGAACTACATCTTTCGGTGCGTCGCGCTATGCGACTCGTGCTGCTGCAAGCTTTGCAACCGCCGCATGTGGCATGCCATCGACTTTCACACTCACCATGGCTGTGACGAGTGCATCAGAAGGATTAGGGCTTTTGGGGGTTATTGTAGTATGGTGACATAGGGACCCTCAAGGAATACGACTAGTAATTATTCCGACCCTTACATCGGGTGATTCTGTCCGCTATGGGCAGAGACGTAAGAATCACCAGCTTAAGGAGATTGATGATCGCAGTGGCGACCGGTTCTTGGGTAGTCCATGAGGATTCAAAGCCTAAATCCCTAGGCCCTAAACCCTAGAACCCTAAATCCCTAAACCTAAGTACTACCTAAAGCTCTCAACCCTTTATCCTGTAACCCTTAATCCTGAAACCCCAAAACCTCTACTCTTTACCCTCGGCCTTCGACTTTCTGCGGCTTTTCAGTTTGGGGATTGTGAACCTGGGCCAGCAAGAGCCTAGCACTTTAAGGGCTTAGGGGTTCAGGGCTTTAGGGTTTGGGGTTTAGGATTTGGGGTTTAGGGTTTAGGGTTTGGGCTTAGGGTTTAGGTTTTGGAGATTGATTAGGTTTGGGGCTTAAGGTGTTCAATGGCTTTTGGGGATTGTCGGAACTTATAGGCCCGGGAGCTATTCCCGAACATCCCCCCCCCCCCCCATTTAGGGTGTAGGGTTTAGGGTTTAGGGTTGATCAAGCCTCATGGAGACTCTTCGCACGGAACTCGAACCCAGAGCAGGAGCCCCATACTGTATGAGGAGGTTCATACCCTCAACCCTGAACCCTAAACTGCGAGGAACGCACTTTAATCCAGACCAAAAGGAGAAAACCCTAAGCCCTAAACCCTAAACCCTTAGACCCGATATCGTTGCAAAGCCTACGCCTTGAACATTGAGTGAGTCCTAGAGCCCTAGAACCCTAAATCCTGGCTTGGTGGTTTAGGGTTTGGGGTTTAGGTTTTAGGGATTAGGGTTTAAGGTTTAGGGTGTCGGCTTTAGGGTTTAGGGTTTGGGGTTTGGGGTTTAGGGTTTAGGGTTGACTGACGGCCGCAGGCGACAGCAAGGAGAAGGACGCCGAAGAGAAGCCGCAGAGCAAAGAAGCGGTGGATGCAGACGTGGACATGTTTGGGTAGGAGTCAGACACATCCCCCCCCCCCCCCCCCCCAAAGCCCTAAACCCTAAACCCTAGTTACACCTTAAGCCCTAAGCCCTAAACCCTAAACCCCTGTGGCACCTTCCAAGCCTTCGTGACCAGACCTTGTTGGACTTGGATCCTCTGAAGGCTTTAGGGTTCAGGGTTTTAGGGTTTTGAGGGTTGAGGTTTTAGGTTTAGGCTTTTAGGGTTTAGGGTTTAGGGCTCTGACTCTACCCACTCTGCACGCGTGGTGTGTCTCGCGAACCTGAGGACCCTCGATGCTTATCTTACTGTCGGTTACCAGGGAATGAGGGACTTAGGGACCTATACATACCTTTTAAGGGATTTTTTTGGGGTACCTCACACCCTTTAAGGGATGATGCAGGGGACCTCATTGCCCCATTCCCTAGTAACCAACAGTAAGTTACATCTGACCCAGGCTTCGAAATCCCCATGGCGCTGAAGCAATGACTTAAGCCCCAGCTCCCATGCGTTGTGTTCAGGATTTAGGGACTCAGGGCTTAGAGTTTAGGGTTTTAGGGGCTTAGGGGCTTAGGGTTCAGGGCTTAGGGCTTAGGGGTTTGGGTTTAGGGGCTTAGGGTTTAGGGTATAG